GGGGACAGGTGCAGGCCTGACCTGGGGTCCTGGACCCCAGATCTCTCTCTTATTTCCTGGTGGGAGACAGAGAGCATCCGGAGGCATCCTTGGGGTGGGAACCTGCAGCGGTCACCTGTTTCTGGTGTAAGTGATTTCTCCCTGAATAAACATCCATCAGCCAATATTGTGTCCTGGAATCTTAATTCCCACTCAGTAGTGGGCCCTCCTAGATTGCTGATGGGTAAGTAACACAATGCAGCCACTATGGACAAAAGCTGGCCAGTTCTCTAAGTTAAACACAGCAGTTAAACCCCAGGTATACACCTAGGAGGCCTGAGGATTCTTGTTAAACAAAGGTTGGTATCATCCAAACTCAAGAAAGAAAGGAAGAAAGAAAGAAAGAAAGAAAGAAAGAAAGAAAGAAAGAAAGAAAGAAAGAAAGAAAGGTCACCACCCATCCATCCAAATGCTCATTAGAGTCTGGAAGCACACTTGGAAGAGTCCTTCCATGCCATGGGATATTTTTCAACAAGGAAAATGAGTGTAGTGTCATTTAGGCTACAACTCAGCCAAGTTAAACTCCATTCTGAGTGAAAGAGGCTACCTATAAAAGATATACTGTTGTCAACATATGTGACATTCCCAGAAAAGAAGTGAAGTCAGAGATCCAGGCAAGCATGTCAGGTGCACCTTTGAGTGCAGATGGGGCTGACATCACACATGAGAGCTCTGTTTAGGTGATGGAATGTTCCACCAAGTTAGCTGCAATCATGGGTGTCCAATTCACCAAGCTGACAAAAAAAAAAAAAAAAAAAAAATCATTGAATTGTACACTTACAGTTCCCAAAATATATGTTAAGCAAATCTCTTTTCAAAGAAGTGATTTTTAAAAATTAAAAAGAGGAAGTAGATTAGGGAGGGCTTATCCTGTTATTTCTTCTCAGAAGACCCCTGGGCAGCATAACAGAGTGACCACTTTCTCCCCTTGGCCATCTCTACTATTTGGAGTTCTGGGGAGGGGTGTGAGAGCTTCTGAAATCTCTCCAGGGCTAACAACTACACACTGATGACTTTTACAGAGTCAGAGGGTCCCTCCCCTGAGTATAATTCTACTTCAGAGGTCAATCCTCATTCACCCAGCTGAACATGACCAGCTCTCGACCAGGGGACTAAGCAGCCTTGACTGTATCACCCACATACCTACTTCATGCTTGGAGCACTGCCCTCCTGCCTTGAGAATGTAGCCAGGCTAGTCTTAAACCCGCTGTCCTCCTGCATCAGTGTCCTGAGTGCTGAGATTCTTCCGTGAATTGAAATTGGATAGTGTTGCTCCTCTGCAAACTCTATGGGAAATCTCATTTCCATCTGAACTGAATCTTCCTTCCTGGCTCCACCTGCAAAGAGCCCAGGTGTGAGTGTCCTATGTGGCTCTGGTCCTCCACTCTGTGTTCTTTCCCATCTTAGTGTCTTTGCCCTTGTACATCCGGCCTCACATGATACCCTCACGCTGTCAGTCTGTCTTCTCTACTAGAAACGGGCTCCACAAGGGCTGTTAGTATGCACCTTACTGTAGAATTTCCTCAGGACATACTCAAGAACCCATTGATAAAAAGGGATGGAGGGATAGAAGGGAGGGAGGAAGGGAGGGAGGAAAGAGGGAGGGAGGCAGGCAGGGAGGGAAGAGGGAGGGAGGGAGGGAGAGAAAGAGGGAGGGAGGCAGGGAGGGAAGAGGGAGGGAGGGAGGGAGAGAGAGAGGGAGGGAGGCAGGCAGGGAAGAGGGAGGGAGGGAGGCAGGCAGGGAGGGAGGCAGGCAGGGAGGGAGGCAGGCAGGGAGGGAGGCAGGGAGGGAGAGTGAGCTGGCTGAGTTGGCAGAGGAGTGAAGAGGGGTGGGGAAGGGGGGAAGGTGGCAGAGAAGGGGTAGAGCACTGACTGCCTCCTGCTCACACTCACATTTAGAAGCAGTTTGGTGAGTTGGATGGAGGGTGACTGTGGGGTTCAAATCCAAGCTCTGTCACTCCCTGGGTATGATCTTGAGCAAGTTCCTTGACTCATCTGTAACACAGGAAAAGTGAAAATTCAGACTGCAAGGCCATCTTCAGTGTCTAGCCCTCTGCTTAGGGGAAGGGAGTGTGTCCCCGGACAGCGTGTGACTGTGTAGTTCAGCCCCCTGCTCGACACCAGAAACTTGCAGACAGTAACTCCTCTACCATCCTGCCTTTGAGTTTTCTCAAACTCCAGGCTAACCCTCAGAAGATTCTCTGTAAAGATCAAAAGAAAGGAAAAAGAAAGAAAATCAGAAAAGCAAGAAAGAAAAGCTAGTCCCCTTCCCCAGACACACTCTCCCCAGACATGAGGTTCAGGACTCAGGGAAGCCTGGAGCAGACACCAACCATGGGGGACCCTGTAGGAAGTTCCTCAAACACAGCTATGGAAAGATCAAGACAGACACAAAAAGTGGAACACTCTCTCTTAATCTGGTCAGTCACATGGGCTGCTGTCAGTCCTTTTGCAAACACTAGTCAGTGTGAAGATGGTGGTGTGTGCTTCTGAGCTAGATGGGGCCATGGAGGCAGCTCAAAGCAGCTCCCACCCCTCCTGCAAACCTCTGTCTGGCTGTACCCCTTTTAGATTCAAATGAGCTAGGTTCAAATACCAGCTTTAATGCCTCAAAGGTTGGGGGATGGTTTCCTCTCCTGTGTTGTGGAATAATTGTTGAAGATATGTTACATTCCCTTATGCCCTGGAACATTTGTCTAATGAGGCAAAGAGATGCCGCATTCTTTTATGTTGCATTTATGTTAAACTCTGTGAAACTGTGATACTGCCTGTCTAAAACATATGATTGGTCTAATAAAGAGCTGAATGTCCAATAGAAAGGCAGGAGAAAGGATAGGCAGGGTTGTCAGGCAGAGAGAATAAAGAGAAGGTTCAAGAAGAAGAAACAAGGAGAAAGGACATCAGAGGCCAACCACACAGCCACACAGCAAGCCACAGAATAAGTAAAGAAGGGTATATAGAATAGGAAAAGGTAAAAGCCCAGAGGCAAATGTTAGATGGGATAATTTAAGTTAAGAAAAGCTGGCAAGAAATAAGTCAAGCTAAGGCCAGGCATTCATAAGTAAGAATAAGTCTCTGTGCTGTGTAGTTATTTGGGAGCTGGGTGGTGGCCCCCACAAAAAGTAAAGAATTAAAAAAAAAAAAAGCCATCAACACTCCTGAGCCTCAGTCTCTTCATCTGTGAAATGGGAGCAGGTCTGTCTACCTCCTATGGTCTGTGAAGGCGGTGGTGCTCTGTTTGGCTCCCCCTCTGTGTAGCTGCTGGGTAGGAGCTGCCTGACTTCTATCTTCTGGATTCCAAATATCTTCTCATCACCCCTCTTCTCCTGGACTTCTCCCTTGCTTCAAGACAAGAAGAAACTTCTTTTCTACTCCACCTGTCAGAGAGAGCTGCCAGCTCCACTGTATCTCTGGTATGAGTGAGCTCAGTGTCTGCACACTTCACCGATAGCCAAGAGTGGCTATGGATCCCGATCAGCCAGTGCCCAGGCCAGAAGACCCTGAGGACCACAGAGGGAAGGCCTCTCCTTGGGTCCCCAGCTGGGAAGTGTACAGATCCTGCTGGAGACTACGGCAGTCATGATAGGAACGGGACTGAAGACATGCTGTTTTCAGAAGTGCAAAGTGAGAGATCTGATTATTGAAGGAACTCATGGGTCCGGCCCTCTCTGTGCTGGACAAGAATGAGTGCTTATTGTGCATGTTGTACTTAAATCATTTGGAAACATAGATCTTGATTCCCACGGCTGTGTGAGTATCTTGAGGGGCTAGAGCTGCAGCTGGGTGAGACCTTAGGAGCTGCCTTGAGAGTGACCAAAGGCGGGTGCTGGGTTCAGATCACAGCCCCTTTCATCTGTGGTGTTCTGAACAAATCATCTCCCTTCAAAGGCTGAGTAAGTGCTGGCCTGCTGGGTGCAGGTGCAGGGACTGAGTGAGGACCAGAGTTTCAGTCTGCCCAGGACAGATATCGTCTTCTAAACCAGCTTGTGCACTCTGAAGGGGTGAGAGGATTTGGAGGCAAGTCTTCGAGGATCCTAAAAACTGCTGTGAAGTTACAGGAGACACTCTTGGACTGATAAGGGAAGAGGTTATCTATGGTGCCTCAGCAGGGTCAGGAAAATGTGTGGAAGTCCAACTACATTGAATCGATTTGAATTTTCAATAATAAAGTCCTTTTTCTGAAAAAGAAAGAAGAAAATTAAAGGGAAAAAGAAAATAGGAAGGAAGAAGAGAGAGGGTGAGAAAGAAAGATAACAGAAGGAAAGGAAGAAGAAAAGAAGAAAGAAAGAGAGAATTTCTTTTCTTTATTTCTTTCTTGAATTCCCATCTGTGTGTGGCTGCCCTGCCTTCCTGGCTGGGTGCCCACACTTGACAAATGGGCATAGCAAAGTTCTCAGGAGGCGCCTCAGGTCTCTCTTCTTCCAGTGTAGTGGAGAGAGTCCTCCTTCCCACCGTGCTGAGGCAGGGGGACAGTGTCTAAGATAGAAAGTCTGGGTCATGCTGAAGTCATGCTGAAGTCATGCTGAAGGGGGTAGGCAAGGAACAGAAAAAAATGGACCACTTATCTTCCTGCAGAAGAGAGGTCGTAGAGTGGGTGTCCACCTTCTGTCTTTCCCGTCTGAGCTGAGGAGCTCAATATGGACGCCAAGGGCTTCGGGTGGGATGTACTGCCTTTTCACACCTGCGATCAGTTTCTACATCCGTGAGAAGTGGCAAGTCCCACCTCACTGCCTGCCTCATGGGACACTGTGAAGCCTGTGGGATGACGTCATCTGTCTGTGAGATGTCATCCCGCAGGCCCCAAATGTCTTGTTAAATGGTAACCTTTGGGAAGCCGTGGGCGCGTGCCTGCAGGTGTCTTAGTTTTTCTCGCCCCTTCTGGAGGACCTGGCTGGGCTGGGCGGGCACTGCTTACCACATCCTCTCGATCCCCACCCCTTGCCTGGCCTCAGACAGACACCACAGCCTCTGCTGGTGGCCTTGTGTTTCAGGCAAGTGCAGCTGCCTGCCTACTTCTCCTATAGTGTGCCTGACAGACACTTGCCTGTCTGATCGCAGGTCTGTCCATCCCTGGGGCGGCCAACTGGCCCCAGCCCCAACCCCAGCCATGCCCTGTCTCTGTCTGGCTGCCCCAGCTCTACTGACTCCCTCTATGTGAGCCCTGCCTAAATGCCCGGCTGGCCTTCAGCCCCAGGACTGTATCAGTGGTGACTCCCTTAGATTCTGGACTTGCACCCGATTAGTCTCCTGGCCACCTCCTTAAATCCACACCTCCCACCATCACTCGAGTCCCACTGTGACTCCCAGCTCCAAGAGGTCACCCGATTGCACCAGTCTGAGGAATGACATTCTGAGGAGGACTGTAAAGAACTAGGTAAGTAGACTCTAGCCCTGGTTCTTCCTGAACCTGTGGTCCTTCTCTGACTTTTGCATAGCACTGGGGTGGGACACTGAGCTGTTCTGTGCCTGTGTCACAGCTAGGGACACAGAGACTGAGAAGGCTATGCAGTTAGACTGGGCAGAGTCAAGGCAGGTGTCCCCTATTCAGCTGGCTTGGAGTGTCTGGGGGACTTAGTGTGTGCTCAAAGGATGTTGGAGGGTTGTGGAAGCAGGGGCATGGCTGGCATGATTCCTTGCCTGAGCAAACTGCCTGAAAGAAGTTGTGGGGAGAGGAAAGTAGGATCTGGAGATAGACAGTCAGCCAGGCAGCTCTGCATTGGGAAGCTTCCAGGGGGGCTGTTTTGTAGGGAGGGCATCAGAGACGACAAACCAGTATGGTTTATTACTTAAATTCCATCAAATCCTTCCAGGCAGGTGGGTGCCTACTTCACCGATAAAGAGACCTGGCTCCACAGGGGAAGTGTGACTTTCCTTATGGGACTCACCAGGATATAGCAAGATGGGTAGTCCAACCAAGAGCTGCCAACCAAATCCAGGACATGTGTCAGATGGTAAGAGGCAACACCTCTTACATGGGGAGAAGAGGGGAGTCCAGAGCTTTTTGGAGGCCTATCCTGGAAGGATGGTTAAGTGGAGAAGTCATAGGAGCTAATGTCTGTAGTTAGGACTTGCCAAAGGGGCCACAGCAGATCACAGAGGCATTAGTGTCCCAAGCAACTCCTAAGAGAATTACTGTGCTCTCTGAGGCAACCTGGGTATTAGAGCACATGGTAGCCTTTCTAGCTGGAGAACCTAGGCAAGCCTCTGCTTCTTCCAGACACCTGGGTCCTCGTTTTTTCCATCTATAAAATGGGGGTGGGGGAAGGTGGTGCTATCTCAGGAGGCTGCTTTTGAGAACTCCAGGACAGCAGAGTGTCAAGACTGGGATTACAGATGTTCCTACCCCCAGGGACCTTGACCTGTGGAGGAGGGCTAGATGCTAGGAGCTGCAGAGAGTGCAGGGCAGGCTAAAACAGCCCTAGCCACAGACTTGTAGGCAATTAGGAACCTCCCAGAATCCTCAGAGTCCAGGTGAGGCCAGTGCATAGATGGCAATGCTGGGCTCCTTGGGGATAAGCTTGTCCTTGGGTTAAGAGTGATGGGGAGAGTCAGAACAATTGGAACCCAGCCTGTACAGTGGGATGCCACCCCATGGGAAGACTCATGACCTGGAACACTACCTAAGGCTATTCCTCAGAGGGGACCTGGCCGTGTGATCCCCACAATGGGGTGTTTTCTGCAATAGCCCTTCTCTGGGGCCTGTGTCCAGTCCCCACCGGATCTCACAGACAGAATGATAGACGCCCTGCCTGACTGGCAGGGGAGATTGGGCCCTCGGCCAGGGCTTCACACATTCCCAACTCTAGAGGCCACTCAGGCTTCTTTGGCCTGAGAGAGGGATGTGAAAATTGGCATCTTAAGAAGCTTTTGACACTGGAAGGTAGGGGCTGCCGGGAAGGAGAAAAGTGTGGAAAAACGGTAAAGAGACAGGCAGGCTACACGCTCAGGGAAGTGATCTCCTTACTGTACCAGGGCCAAGCAGCACCAGATAGGCATAAGAAGAAGGGGTGTGCTTTCTCCCAAAGCCAGGCTCTGTGCATGGGCAGGGGAGCAGCCACAGCCAATCAGTGCCTTCAACAGGGGAAGGCCTGCAGAGACAAGACAGCACCTGGTTTTCTTTAAATACTGGGTGCCTGCCTTGTTGCCACTAACAACAATATGTGACCCAGTCTGGTTCAAATTTGTGATTCTCCTGCCTCAGCCTCCTATGGCTGGCACTACAGGCATGTGCCACCCACTGTACCACGTGGCTTTGATGGTGTTTCAGACTCAGGGAGGGAAGGCGGGTTTTCAGGTGCCACCCAGGAAGTCCCTTGGGGGGGCTTTGTCCTGTGAAGATGGGACAAAGGCTTCCTCAAGGAAGGTGTTCTCACCCTGGCAGCCTTTTCGTCAAATACTGGTCCAGGGCCCCAGACACATGCAGTGGGGGGAGCTGGGAGAGGCCCCACCCACAGCCTGCAGCTTGCAGGTGTTACCCCCCTCCCTGACACCACTCTGGCCCAGGATGAAGGGACTTTTCATGACAACTCAAACAGGAGCGCTGAGTAAACTTGGAACTTCTGAAACAACCTGAGAATATTCCCTGGCTGGGGCCCTTTAAGCTGTCCCTGCGGTCCCCAGGGAGGGTCAAAACACTAGAACTGTCCCAGAAGGAGGGGCAAATGCACGGTCTAGCTCTCCCTCAAGCCTCAGCCTTCTTTACTGCCTGACCACAAATGGGCCTCTGGGACTCTCTGGGCCTCTGTTCCTTGATCTGCTAAGTAAGTTTGATGTGAGGACCAAGATGGGAGCCTCCCGATTCTCTCCAGTGGTGATTAAAAGCTCATGCCACCTCAGGCGGACAGAGGGGAGTGTGGGGGAAAGTGCTGAAGACAGAGGGGGCAGGTGCTGTCTTGGCCCAGTTCTCTGCCACTACTTCAAGCAGGCATGCTTCAAACAGCCCTTGTCTGTGAGCCACAGAGAGGCCGCACACACACCTGAGCAAGGCTGCAAGAATTCGTGAATTTGCACAGATTGTGCAGGCTGGAGGAGGTTCTGACCCATGGGGACTGCACGTACACAGCCACTGGGGCAGGTCCTTCTTCATGTTCAGCTGCCACCCACTAAGCCATGAGCCTGATGTCCTCAGCTGTAACCTAAGCCAGCACAGTGGGAAAAATGGGCACCAGAAAGCACAGAGCTGCCGTGTGCCAGCACCTACTCCCTTGCTTCTTACTGAAGCCTAGCAACCGAACCTGGTCTACAGATGTGCAGAGCTGAGCTCAGACAAAGCAAAAGAGGTGGCTGAAGGCCAGTGAGAGAGTTCTCTTCTGGTCCAGGCCTGCTAGTCTCATTCATCCACTTGACAACGTTAAGAACCTGTGATGTGCCATCTCCAAATGTCACTAATCTGAGGACAGTCTTCTCTGTCAGACTCAGGGATCCAGGATTACTTTTAGGGGTGAGGGGAGGGTACCTCCTGGGGATAGTGGGAAAGCTGAGTCTCCAGGGACTGCTCAGTGTCTGCTCCATCACACAAACCTCATTCATCCGTTCACTCATTATCAATGAATTCTGCACCCGATTCTGCATACTGGGGATATTGTGGTGAAGAAAGCTGGCGATTTATCAACCTCTGGGACATGATGTGCCCAGACAATGATGAGTCATAAAGACAAGACAGAGAGGTCACTATCCTGATAATATGACAGTTAGGAAGCAGGCAGTCTCTTTGGAGCATGACCCCGGAGATGAAATCTGAGGATGAGGCTGCAAAGAGGAGAGAGTTTTAGTAGAGAGGTTGCATGTGCAAAGGTCCTGAGAAAGGGAATACTGAAGCACTGATGTTCTTATCCTTCAGAAATGCAGAGGCCTTCGGTATCTCAGCTCACTGAATTTCAGAAACAGGAACCAGAGTCGGTTTTAACTTTGGAGTGCATGGGCTGCATGATTCTTCACCAAAGAAAGGGATCCCTGCCATTCAGTCGTTTATGCAAACCTGTGTACACACCTGCCGTGTGTGAGGCAGTGCTCAGCAGCTACCCAGCCCATGTGGCTCCTGCTGGGTTGTTGGTTAGAAGGTGAATGGAAACATCCGGGCCTCTGGGCTGTGGTGCTGTGGTGCAGGGACAGAACCCAGAGGAAGAAGTGACTCACGCTCTTTGGACAGATCAAAGCAGACAGCCATGACATTTGAACTTAACTTTGAAGCCCCAGTAGGAGGCTGATAGTCAGCTAGGAGCACAGAAAGTTCCAATGACTGAAAGACCAGGTGTGAAGGGTGGAAGTCGAGCAAAGGCGACTTGTTAGTGACAACCTGGCAGTCTGGGGTGCTTGGAACCCAGAGCAAGTCATGAAGCAGGCAGAGGGGGCAGGGCGCTAGGCTTTTCTCTGCAGGTCTAGGTAGGACTGTGGAATGGTGTGGATGGAGAGTGGGTTGGAGGATACAGCCACAGCCAGGGCCGAAGAAGAGCAGCAGGCAGGTGGGACACTCCGTGCCTGGGGGACCCTGAGGCCCTCCCTCTGGTTCCCCCTTGGGAAGTCCCTGAACTGACACACTTCTCCTTCTGGTGACCTGCTGGCTCTTGTGTATGGCTCTTCTGGGGAGTCCCTCTGTACCCGCCTCAATGCTTCTCTGTCAGCGTAGGGAATGGGACATTTTACTTTCAAAATATTTTCACCTTTCACTTTCAGCCCTGCTCCCACCTGGTCTAGAGTGAGTTGACCATAGCGAAATAGACCAAGTAGATTCCATCTGTTGGTCATTAGTGGGATCAGGACAGGGAAGCCACGAACTGAGGGTCTTCTAGTTCATGGGGAGGTGGGATGCAGCTGTGAACGCACTGGTCTGGTTAGGTCCACAGGGAGCATTGTTCCTTGGCATAGGACCTTGAAGTGGCAAGCTTCCAAGACAGCCACAACCACCCCTGCCTCCCCAGAATGCAGAGAAACCATGACAAGGGCTGACTGCATGCTCTTCCCTGCTCTCAGTAACGTCTTTTCCGTTTTATGTATCAGGTGAGCTGAACGGTGGAGGGCAAAGGTCATTGTTGAGGGTCTTTCTCCATGACGCTCCACCCTTGTTTGCTGAGACAGAGTCTCTCACTGAGCCTGGAGTTCACCATTTGTACTAAGCTGACTGCCAGTGAGCAAGTTTCCACCTGTCTCTGCCTCCCAGCGCTGGGGCTGCCGATGCGTGAAGCCATCCCTGACTCTTATGTGGGTGCTGGGAATGTAAACCCGGGTCCTCGTACTTGTTCAGCCTGCCCTTCACTCAATGAGCCACTTCATCTCCCCTCTCAATGAATAGTATTTCTTCATGTTGATGAAACCCAACTTCTCATTCTTTCCCCCCTCTCTTATTCCTGAGCTAGAAGTGCATTTAGGAAGTGCGAC